TAGGTATCATATTGAACGTGTTTTATTGAAAATTATATATTTGTTTATTCTACAAACATTATATTTTTTTATAATTTATTTATTAATTTCATTTATTAAATTGTTAATTATATTTATTTCAGTTTTCGTACATTGTTTTTTAATTGCAATTTTTAATTTTAGATAACCTCACTTTAGCAGCGTCGAAATGGATCGATAATTTCGAAATTGGTTGCTATTTCTGTAAATTTGAAAATACGCATTACATACCAAATGAAATGCTAACAAAACTTTACTCACAAGACGTGAAAATGCTGATGTCGAATCAATATTGATTTAACGTCAATTCATCGAAAACTCATCGACATCGAGAATCAGCCATTTTTGATCAATTTAAATCAATATCAGAAATTTGCTTTATTTTAAGTTACACGTGTTCAAAATTCGTAAATTTAGTCTAAAATCATAATAATATATATGTTTCATATCAATGGTATATATATACATTATGTGTTAATCTTATTTGCAATTGTAAGTATATAATAATAAGTATTTTTTCTCTATATGTACAAGTATTAAAACGTATTTATCACTGTTTTACCATATAATGATTTTAAAGCAAGGATATATCTTAAGGATAAAATATACTTCACACAAACTTATTTATTATTAAGGCATATGACTATTTGTGATTACAAAGAAATTCTATTTTTAAATCAATCAAATAGCGCTCAAAAATAAAAATAATATACTTTCTATTAAGGATTCCTTTTTTCTTTTTTTGCAATGACATAATTATAATTCAGTCACTATTTAATAGCTTTATAAAATTACGATAGTAACACACACACACACACACACACACTCACACACACACACACACACACACACTCACTCACTCACACACACACACACACATATATATAAGTATAATATCACGTGATATTAAGCTGCTTCATTTTGCCGCACGTTTTTTATGTATAATTATAATTACTCATTAATTATTCTCAAATTTTCATATTTTCTATGTAATGTTGAAAATGGGAAGGCGAAAGATATAACAATGACATACGTGTGTATATGAACAAAAAATATATATATTATTTTTAAATAAAAACATTTGTTATAATAAATTTATTTTCATAAATGCACAATTAATTTTCACAAATTTTCGTAAAAAAAAAACATTTTACATACTAAAATAATCTATTTGGACATAATAAATAATTAATGCGCAATGTAAAATTATATAAAATGTAATGTCCAAGATATATATTAAGAAAAAAAACAAAACTATAAACTGTTTATTTTCGTAGTAGAAAACATACAAATTGGAACTCATTATTGGTATATATTGCACATATAAACAATTTTGATAAATTATTATTTAATTTTGATAATATTAGTTTAAACTAGTTAAAAATTTGAATTCCAATATTTTAATTTGAGACTAAAAGAACGTATAAGTTGTGTACATTACACACCCAGAGTGAAATGATGGTTAGATCGCAATCTACAGTAAAGAATTCGAATTACTCATTGTCAGTATAATATGAATCACATGATTAATAAATATATTTCTATGCCTGCATTGCAATAATCATTTTATACATGCGTCGCAATTTGTAAGGTATTATTATTAAAGAATAATATATCTTCGTTTTGCGCACGTAATTATATTTGGTTAAACTAAACAAAATGAGAAAAAATATATAAAAGGATACATTTATACAAAATAGTTCTAAAACAATACAAATAGAAATTCGGCAAATTAAAATTATGTACATAATATAAATTCGACGAATTAAAATTATCTGCATAATAGGAATTCAGCGAATTAAAATGATGTATATAATCGAAACTCGGCGAATTAAAATTGTGTATAATAATTGAAATTCGACAAATTAAAATTATAGCATCAAGCAACTGTTATTGCACAGATTAACAATTTGACAGTTGTAAAATAAGCAATAGAAACTAGAAATATCTTGGAAATAAACTTACCTTTTTGAAAATCAGAGAAAAACTTTGCCACAATTTCTACACAAAAAATATATCAAGTATGTAGTATGTATAAATAATGTATAATATTCTTATTGTCGATATTTTGAAAATGTCTTATATATTGAAAAATAAAAATTAAATCTAATTTATTAAAAATTATCTAAATCGCTTTTGTATCGCTTTATTTTAACCTTTTAAAATTGTATATAAATAGCAGGATAAAATAATAGTATAGACAATATTTTATTATATACGTATACTTAACTGCTGTAGATTTTGTCAATTAATTTTTTTATAAATTCATGTATATTAGATATGTATTTTGAAACTTGAAAACAAAAATTTTATTGTTTATATTATTGAATGTAGTCGATTAATTATCATTATACAGCATTGAAAAAGAGGGAAGCTCCGAAATACAGCTGCAGGCTAAACTATAATGGCTGAAAACCAACAACTCGTTGATACAAAATACCTATTACTGCCATTAATAAACAAGTTAAGACGTGTATATCTAAAAATCTAAGAGATAGTTTATTATTCGTCGAGCTCGCACTTTTGCCTACGTTTTCTTTGCATTCTGTACTCTTATCTGAAATGGAATTTAGTCCAAGACGAGTTATCGAACATGTAATAGCAAAACAAATGAGTTTGCAAATTCAAGACACAGTAGTCGTTTCCCGGCGATCTATTACTTATTATAATTTTTTCATTCATTATTTTTCCCCTTAGGGATGAAAGGCGCTTTTAAGGAGCGTACCTAAGCTTTACATTCCTCTTACATTAGTATCTTACAAACTACTTTTACATGTACTCTTACATCTAACTTACAACTATCTTAATTCTACTTTAATCTACCTATCTAACTAATTAAGAGAGAGAAAGAGTCGTCCCTAACTATCGCTTTGCTTCGGCTTCCAGTTTCCCATACATTCTCCATCACCTCACTCATACTTCCACTCATTCTCTTTTTCATATTTCCTTCCTCCTCTTCCCCTCCCTCTTCTTCTCTTCCTGTTCTCCCCTTCTCTTTCTTTTTCTCTAATTCTCTCATCCATCCTTCTCCTTCTTCTCCTTTCTGCAGTATTTTATTTATTCTTTCCCACCAATTCCCTTATTCCTTTCTCTTTCACATTCTCCTATTACATGTTCCCATGTTTCATCTTCCATCCCACATAGCCTACATCTTCTTTTCCTCTCTTCTTCCCAGTATCTCGTCCTTCTTATCTCATTATTCATTCTAAACCTCACTATCCTTTTCCATCTACTTTCCCTCCATCCCTTTCTCAGATATTTCGGTAAACCCTCCTCCTTCCATTCTTCATACCATCTATTATATCTCGATTCTCTTATCCCCTCCCATCTTTCCTCCTTCTGCATTTCTCTGTGTTTCTGCTCCCATCCCTCGTATACTTCCACTCCCCTTCCTTTTTTTTCCTCCATCTCCTTCCCTTATATTTCTCTTTCTTCCCAGAATTTTGCCCTCTCTTCCTCCCAAACCGTTCTTTCCTTTCCTCTTCTTACCCTTTCTTTCATATCCTCATAGCATTTCCTCGCTGAACTTCCTCCCCTTTCTTCTTCCAATTTCTTCTTATACCCTACCGCTCTTCTTTTGCCATTATCCTAAATTTGTCCTTTCCTATCTGTTCTCTTACCATATACCCCGGCGTACACCAGTCCACTCCTAACGTCCACCTAATCCATCTTTCTTGCATTGCCTCTACCTCTCTTCTCTCCTTCCATCCCCATATTTCCACCTCATATTCCAACACCGTTCCCACCAACCTTTCCATTAGCCATACTCTTTTCATCCAGTCTCCTGCAAATCTTCTCTTCCCCATTCTTCACACCCCAGCTAGCCAAGAGTGATAAAATCACGTTTTGTTAAAGCTTTGCGGCAAAGTTTGCTTTAATTTTAACAACAATTTTCTGGCAAACATTTGCCTTGCTTCGTCTTGTCTAAATATTTCGAACAAATTAACGGCAAAACTTTTCGTTATATGATGCTTGCCAGCAAAAACTCAGCTTAATGCGGACACACCTTGTCGCAATTTTGCTACAAAGGCCTGCTCGAGTTTACCGCAATCTTTGTGCAAAGTTTGTATCATTTTGCTAGCTGGGACATGTCTTATCATCGCTCCTGCTTTCCTTATACTCTGTCCTTTACCTGTGCCTCCTGTCCCCCATTCCTTTGCAGTTTATATCCTAAATACGTGAATTCTTTCAGTTCCTCTAATCTTTTTCCTTTCCACTACCACTCCACTTTCTTCATTCTTCCTCCTCCCTTTTTAAACCTCATTGCTTTTGTCTTATCCACATTCACCTCTAACCTTTTCTTATCCATATAATTTTCCATTTTCCCTAACATATGTATCATCCCTTCCTCATCCTCCGCCAACAGTACCATGTCATCTGCATATGCCAAGCTAATGTACTTTTTCCTCTCCCAGTTTCACCTTCCCAACCTCCTTTTCTCAGCACTTCCTCTATATCCGCTATCAACAAGTTAAATAAGTGTGGGCTCATTAGGCAACCTTGCCTCACAACCCTTTGCCGTCTAGAAGTTTTCTCCCTCCTCCTTCCTTACTCTTACTTTACTCCTCGTTTCCCTGTACACCTCTTCCCAGCAAACACCGATATATAATTGTTACATTGCTATAATAAAACGGAATGTAACAGGTAATATAACGTGTACGTTACATGTAACATCCATGTTAGTTGTAATTCCCACTCGTAGATGTAACATTTTAATATAACATATATTACATTGTAGTTATATTGTAATTATATACCAAATAGCACATTGATGTATTGATAAGTCAGTTCTATCTTGGGATATAATGACAATATAACTACAATGTAATATATGTAATATTAAAAATGTTACATCTATGAGTGGGAAATTACAACTAACATATACGTTACATGTAACATGCTTGAGTATATAACATTTATATACTGTGTTTGCTGATCATTGCATAATGTTATTCATAATATTAATTCGCAGATTTAGTCCTCTATGTAATTAGAGCGGAGTCTTCCGGGTAAAGTTTCGTTAGCATTTTATTTGGTACGTAATGCGTATTTTCGAATTTACAAAAATAGCGACCAATTTCGGAATTATCAATACATTTCGGCGCTGCTAAAGTGAGATTACCTAAAATTAAAAAATGCAAATAAGAAACATTGTACGAAAAGTAAAATAAATAATAAACAAATTAATAAATAAAATGTATTTATAACTGTGAAATCAATAAAAAATCGAATTATAAAAAGAAATAAAATGTTCGTAGAATATAAGAATATATAATTTTCAATACAACACGTTTAATATGATATATAATGTATTCATACCTTCATTTACGTAACATATTTTATTATTATTGGTAAGAATAATATAATTTGTTTGCTGTTCTGTAAATTGATAATTGTTACAATGATTCAAAGGCAAGTAGTCTATTTGCATTGAATTATTTCGCCATCTGGCGTTATTTGGATTATCTGTCAAAATTTCATAACGTCTGTCTGTATGACGATCCCATCCGATTATGACGCCGTCGCAATTATTGCAATCATCATGATGTGTTACGATCATTCCTACCGCAAATTTTACGTTTTTTGTTCTAATGAATTGCCCTGTTGTTTTTAAACAAAGTTCTTTGACCTGAAAGTATAATGTTATACTTTAATTTATAATTCTTACCATTTAATTCTTAAATATATATTTATAGCATATTTAATTATTCTTATTATTAAATTATAAATAATTATAACTCATATGTATATAGCTGTACCTGTCAAAAAGAAAGAAAAGAGAATTTATTGTTACTATTATAATATATTTTAATTAATGCTGTGTGTATAGTGCATACATACTTCAAAGCTACTTGTTTTAAATAAATAAATTTTTTTACGCTCCTTAATCTGAGAAATGTTGTTATAATGGTATGTCAAATCCGCAAATCTTAGCAGTATCCTGTCTCGCAGTTCACATGGTGATATTCGACCTAATCTGTTGCACGGTAAAAAATCATTACGATATAAATTTTGCGACCTCTTCTGATACGTTGATTTATTGACACGACAATCCGGGAATTTGTTAAACATTACACTAAAACATCTTTTATTTGCTGGATTAATCGTGCCACTGCAAAGCAAACATATTATTTATCTATTATGCACACCTGTGTATGTGTAGAAATATTTTTTAAAAGATTTCAATAATTCCAAATTTAATTTTATACTACTTACTATCTGGATTTCCAATGTATACAGTAAGATAGTTCTAATCGTTCACCGAATGCCACAATGTCGGAACGTAGACCAAGTCTTCTTGCCACGCTGTGATATATTATTAATATAATCACTTCTTGTCCATATCTACTTTTTAGTACCTATGTCAGAAATTGCAATAAATTAATGAGAGAATGACAGTATTTTTAATATATAAACAAACAAACGGCCATGCTCACAGTACGATTTTCTTCTTCTGACGCCACATATAGTTATAATATACATTATATAACTTACATTATCTATACACATGAATTCCAGAATTGTATCGTTTATTTCGCACGGCCGAAATTTTAATTTGCGAAATATGTATTCGTCTAATGCATCGATAATCTGAATTCCTTCCGCTTCGTTCCAGTGATTATCGTCTATATTATTGTTTTTCCAATAAGAAAAAAATTCAGCGGACGTCGAAAATATCGAATGATCTGGATGTTTTTGTTTCAGATAATTTTGTACCTCTCGTGCAATATTATCCAAAGATTCTACTACGTACGCGTAAGTTACATCCTTTTGGATTTGTAAGGTTTGTGCTACATTAAAGGCAATCCATTCCATAAGCCGTGCTCTATCAGGTAAAGTCTTAAATTTGCCCAAGCTTAATTTTATTCTAGAATTCTTTATATAGTTAAATAGTTTCTCGTGATAATATCTTTCGGTTAAATCGCAACCAGTTCTGAAAAATTTACATATTAAAACTGTGCAAGAACATAATCTATAAAGATGTTAGCACTACAAAATATATTAAGAATTTTACCGTGGAGAATGTGTGAGCAAGCTTTTAAGCTCATCGTTGTAAAAAGAAAATATGGTGAATCTTCGATTACAATATTTGAATTCTTCATAATTATTGTCTTCTAAATCAGAAGGAAATATATCTTCGAATTGCACACAATTATCGATTGATTCATCGTCATAATGATCATATTTCATTTGAGACACGTATTTTTGAAATTGTCTCCTATAATTGATACCTAATTTTATAAAGTTTATAATTTTTTTCTTGGATTTGCATTTTATACGATCTTTGAAAGTCTTAGACATAATGTCATAGTGTTCTTTTAAAGAAGGCCATCTATAATTGAAACAAAAAATGATTTAATATTATTAAATAACATTAAGAGTTCTATTGCAGCATCATTAAACAAAATTCAGAGCAATATATTTTTAAATTAATTATAATTTTTTATTTGATTTTTACATATTTTATTTATTTAGGATACTTTACAACTTATTTAGTTAATTGATATATTATATTGATAATATCACAATTATAAAAAGTTTTCTTTTTTATTATATTTTATCATATTATACACTTGTATGCTATATTATAATTTCTAATTATTTTATATTACATTTATTCATTACGTTATGAAAATGGACGGAAAGCCACCGGTTGCATGTGTTTTTAATAAAATTTTTTAATTATTTAAAAATATTATTTCATTATTTTATGTATTTATAAAAATTATGTTACGTATAAGGAGCTAAAATGGACAAGATTTAAAGCAAGAATTTTGAATATTTAACTATACGCGTTAATTCCAATTTCTGCGTCTTGTCTCTCATTAAAGCGTTTTTTACGCGTTTGTTTTTATTAAATGTGTCAACTAAAAACCTTAATAATTTTTATCGCGTTATGTCTTGAATATACAAAATTATCCAGTTGTATTATATAATAAAGAATCGATCTCCAAGTCCGACGAAAAGGTAAAGGAGGCATTACATGAGTGTCTTTATGTTCTTAGGTAAAGACTTTTCTAGAAATATCCTGGCACTTCCAGAACACTGGAACGTTTTTATTAAACGCAATGGGGAATATTTACAATCAGAAAAATAATCTAAAAGTGTGTATTCTTTTTGTGTTCGAAAAATTATAAGATGAATAGTATTTAATAAAATAAAATTTTTTTTAATAAACTCACTTAATAGCCATTGTTCATTAGAGTCTTTTTAACTATTTGTTTTAATAAATGTATATTGATTTTCTTATTAAATTTTAAATATATCGAAATATATATAAAATTTATTAAATATTCCGAAAATTATCACACTTTATTATTTGTTTCCATCTGTTAATGATTACGGATTAGAAATAAAAAAAAAAAATAAATAGATTGGACGACGATTTTCGAATGTATATAATCCAAAATTATAAAAAATGCATAATTATATAAAATCGTTATACATTTCTACAAAACAAATACCATATAGATAACACATACATATTTTGATTTGAAACAATAATTGTTAAGCAAATGTAACTCACTATGCAAATCGAGACACATATCTAATCGTCACATGGTCGCAAAAAGAAGGTACAATATTTACGAGAATTGACTTGAATTGCCTTTTTAGAAAATGATTATTTAATATATTCTGTTTTATTCTACTCTGTATTTTATTGTATTCTTTATACTTGTAATTTTTAAGATAAAACTTTCAAATATACAAAACTGATGATGCAATGTTTGATCTACGCATGTAAAATATACAAACAACAAAAAATTACCTTTGAGAAAATTTCATTTCCATATACTTTGGATAACTAGCTGCATAACGAAATTGTTGGCAGACGCATCGGAAATTAATGATATCCTCGATGGTGATATCCTTGTAGCTGAGAATAATGGATATCAATTCTCCTGGTAAGAATGTAATCGTTGCCATTATGACAAAATTTAGAGAAAGATCACTATAGAAAATTATATAAATCGAAGTGATTGCAATAAATTATTCGCGTATAATTATTAAAAATTTCAATTCGCATAACACGTGTTCGATGTGAATGCTACAGACGTTGTTCATGCTTTGTCCACATTTTTCTGAAAATTCTACATGCGAACCTAAAGTTTGCTCCCTCCCGTCGTGCACGGTGTCACGTGGTGCATACCATAAGAAAAAAGAAAAAAGAAAAAAAATGTATTGTTGGAAATTCTATTGTTCCATTTTTATTTTACAATGAACCTTCAAGACAGAAGAAAATAGAGAATTACAGAATAATATTAAATTAACACAAAAAAGGGTAACAATTAAAAAAATTCTTGAAATAGGAAAATGGTACTTTTGTAAATAATATATAAAATAAAAATAACTACATTTTGTTTGAAAAATTGAACATCTGTTAAAATTTTTAATGTGTTACTTCGTGCAAGCTTTAAAGAGATGCATAATTTAAAAGATGATTTATTTTTATATTTGCTTCGCACTTTTACGCGTTAATTTAATACTGTTCTCTGTGATTCTCTGTCTTCTTCTGTCTGACAGGCTCATTGTAGAATGAAAATGGCACAATAGTTTCCAACATTATACAGGGTGTCCGGTAATAAACGGACAACGATTACAAGTGGATTCTTTGGTCAATTTGGGAACGATTTTTTTTCAACAAAAATGTCGAAAAGGTCATCATTTTATACAACTTTTTAATATTTGTCATTAATCTTTATAATTATAAGCCTCAAATTAAAATTTTATTATAGTAAACTTTACCTAAAATTAACTAAAAAATGTAATTATGTTAGACTTTTAACTTCAAAACGTTTAGTTTTAAAAAAACCCATTTGTTTCAATCGCTTATAACCCGAAAATTATTGACTTCTCAACATTTTTGCTAAGGAAAAAATCGTCTCCAAATTGGCCAGAGAATCCGCCCTGAATCATTCGTCCGTTATGTACCGGACACTATTTTGTTTGTCTTTTCTACGTATGGCATATCACAAGATAATGCAGGACGAACGGGACTACTTTAGCATTTCAGGTATAGATAACTATTTGAGAAAAATAATGGACAGGGAAGTGGACAACGTGCGCAGCGTTAACATCGAAGCATTGTGCAGTATTAAAAATTTTAATGACTCAGCCATTATACTAAATTATTATCGCGAATAATTTGTTGCATTTCTTTCAGTTATATATAATATTTTCTTTCTGATTTTCTAAAATTTTTTTTCATAATACAAGGAATAACATACCCATCATTAATTTCATCTCCTACAACATAAGATTACCATCGCAGCCATACTATTTCCGGCAGCTATAAAAACAAAAACAATTTCTCATAATTATTTCTTGTTGTGTTGTAAATTTCATGAATAGATCGATACATTCCATCTGTTACGTTTCGTTCGTCCGTTTTTGGGTCAATATCAAGAGACACGGTAGTGTCTCGCGACCAGTTAAGGGCGTAGCGGAGACACCGTGTATCTTAACGCGAGTCGGACATTTGAGTCTTTATAATATTTCGAATCCTCAATAATGGCTGAAGCAATCGAGTTTATACTAGACTTAATCGATAGATTGAGTTCGAATTATATAATAAAAGTGTCTTTATTTCTGCTCTACGTGATTTGTAAGCAGAGATATATAAATGCAAAGTCGAAATATGAAAAATTTCTATTAAGAAACGTCCCCGTCATCATTATCATCATCATTATCATCATCATTATCATCATCGACCACGCATACATAGTAGTATCGTGCTACACGTATTCACACGTATACAACACATGCGCACACATATATCACACGTACACAACACATGCAAGATGCATGTAGTGGTAATTTTGTCCATCTCGCACGTTTTACAACAGATGGCGATAGTGGCGCTCCGCCATATCGGCAGCGTGCGGGGTTATGTTGGCTAACTCTCTCTCTCTCTCTCTCTCTCTCTCTCTCTCTCTCTCTCTCTCTCTCTCTCTCTCTCTCTCTCTCTCTCTCTCTCACACACACGCACACACACACACACCTCTCATTCTCACTCACTCACTCACTGTTCGTCTTGTGTACTTATTTAGTACATTCATGATTAAACATCTATATGCATTAATGTGAAATTTACTTACAATTAGTTTACTTGAAATATTCAATCTCTAAAGTGTTTATCTTATAAGATAGACAAAAAAATCTGAGTAAATAATAAGAAAAAAAACAAGGATTATTATTGTCATAATTTTTTATCAATTAAGTACTCTCAACTATCCAATAATTAAATAAATACGTACAAATGTGCGCGCGTGTACACACATACACATATTGATATTAAAGAGATTGAAGGAGAGGAAGGAGAAGATAAAAATTTAAATATTCACATATATTTTCAAATATTATATATGAATTTATAGTTTACATATCTAATTAATAATGAATTTCTAATTATATTAAACATATCAAAATAAAGACATACATGTATTTATCAAATGAATAAAATTATTGAATACAGACTTAAAAAATTTATTAAACATAGACTTAAAAATTAATTAATTAAACATATTCCAAATTTAGAAAAAATAAACTTTATTTATATATGCAACAGCTTTTTAAACTAAATTTTTAAATTCTATTTTATATTAGACAATTATCTCAATCAACATCTACGTCCACATTAGCTGCACTGCAGACTACCTCTACAGCCACATTATCTGCTCCGCGGATATAGCGTTATGCCAATACGATACATTACATGTACTTACTTACTTGCCTTTACTGTACCAACTCTTGTTCTTTCCACGTAATCATGTTTTTACAGTTATCGTTTGCTGTATATCTTCCAGCAAACTTTATTTCGTGTGAAGTGTATTTAATTAATTAAATCTCTGCGAAAGATTGAGAAGATGAAGGGATAATTCAAACTATGAAGACATGGTTACATGGAAAAGACAAGAGTTGATACAATAATAAAGACATACATGTATTTGTATCCTGCTGGCATAAGGTTATAGAAGTTGATTGAGATTGAAAAATAATAATGAAAATAATAAAAAAAATAAAGACACATGTATTTGTATCGTGCTGGCATAAAGTTATAAAAGTTGATTGAGATTGAAAAATAATAATAAAAATAATTAAAAAAAGGAAATATTCAATCATCATTTAAAAGCATATTTGAAATCTGTAGAATAAACAGTTTTTGCAAAAAATGTGGAGCATTTGAGCTCTAGTAAGTCTAAAAATAAATGTAAACATCAATTAATAATAACTGATGTTATATATATATTATATATATAAACCAATTTGTTGCAATATTCACTATAAAAGGTTGTAAGGGTAAGATGGCTAAAAGTGAATAATTTAAAAGATAGTTAACATAATTTTACATAAACTGAAATATTTCATAAAATAAAATATTTGTAATATTTCGAAGTTTATGTAAGATTATGTAAAAATTATACCTTTACAACTTTTTATAGTAAATATTGCGAGGAATCGATTTATATGAGAAAAATTAAGGTAATTCTATTTTGAAAATATAAGTGACCTTTAAATAACCTTGAAAATCGCCGTTTAGGAAAAAGTCTGTGTCAACTTTTTCTTTTTCGAAATCCTGCAACTTTTATCTAAATTTAATAGAAAATGTATAAAAAATGCTCGACATTAGTACACACACACACACACACACATATGGGTAAATTTATATAAATAGGGTGCTTTAGGAGGAATGATCAGGATTCTAGGATATGATTGTACACATCATTTTAAGCAAAGAAGTTTAGATAAACATGTTTAATAATTGTTCTATTCCGGTCATAAAAATATACAAAAATGAATGATATAATCTCTAAAAACTCACCTTTAAAAAAAGGTAAAAAAAGGCGACCAGTTAAGGGCACGCCATTAACAAAAATTATCCATTGCAAACCCATGTAGAATCCTATCCTATTGCAAACCCATGTAGAATCCTATGAAAAATTAACCATTGCAAACTCATGTAGAATCCTATGAAAAATTAACCATTGCAAACCCATGTAGAATTGTATTAAAAATTATCCATTGCAAACTTATGTAGAATCCTACATTGCAAACCCATGTACAATAGAATTGTATGAAAAATTATCGATTATAAACCCATGTACAATCGTAACAAAAGTAATGAAATAAAAAAAAAATTGCGCCAAGTGAAAGTAGAAACTTGTACCAGTGGAAAATTAAAGTTGCAGACATATATAGAGTCGTATAATGAATCAGTAAAAATTTAAATTTGCAAATGTAGAATCGTACCATAAAAAACTTATCTTTAAAAAAAAAGATAAACAAGATGCCAAGTCCATGCGCCATGTGAAAAAGAAATAAAAAAATTTTAGTTAAAAAAACTGGGAGCGCTGCTAAATAATATTCTAACAATATTAAAATTAAATTGTTACTTTTAAACTCATTACAGTTAAAATATGTTTTGTGTTTAAATTAATTAATGTTACTTTAAGGTGCATTGTAATTTTGAAACTTAGCAGCGCGCCCAGTTTTTTTAACTAAAATTTTTTTATTTCTTTTTCACATGGCGCATGGACTTGGCATCTTGTTTATCTTTTTTTTTAAAAGATAAGTTTTTTTATGGTACGATTCTACATTTGCAAATTTAAATTTTTACTGATTCATTATACGACTCTATATATGTCTGCAACTTTAATTTTCCACTGGTACAAGTTTCTACTTTCACTTGGCGCAATTTTTTTTTATTTCATTACTTTTGTTACGATTGTACATGGGTTTATAATCGATAATTTTTCATACAATTCTATTGTACATGGGTTTGCAATGTAGGATTCTACATAAGTTTGCAATGGATAATTTTTAATACAATTCTACATGGGTTTGCAATGGTTAATTTTTCATAGGATTCTACATGAGTTTGCAATGGTTAATTTTTCATAGGATTCTACATAGGTTTGCAATGGGTA